ATATTTTATTGTTTTTATTATATTTAATAACTTAATTGGTGCAGTTGCCGTCACTACACCGCAGAAAATACAGCACCGAGCGTTGCTCCCCCCAATATGAATGCAACACAAAAACATCAGTACCTGCTGCAACCTCCTCTTTATTTAAATAAAGAAAACAAACTTTTATTTATTTAATTTATTTACAATATTTATTTATTTATTCACAATTCTACACCTGCATGCATTAATATAATCGCTCTGAATTTTGTTTCTGCAGAGTTCCGTTTCTCTTCGATAAGCTGCAACGCCCGCTGCTGGAAACCCTAAACCCTAAACCCTAAACCCTAAACCCTAAACCCTAAACCCTAAACCAGAAACCCTAAACCCTAAACCCTAAGCATCGAAGTCTGCTTAAAATTTAAATAGAAAAGAACTGCATACGTTTCATTTTGAGTAGACAGCCCCTGCATGCAGGCGCATAAAATATATATTCAGTGCGTAGAGGAGAAGAAACCTGAAAGCACTCTTCTGAAGGAAACTCTTCCTGCTGCAGCGGCAGCACTCTGTTGCTGTTCTGTGGTGAGGTCTATGAGTAACGAATGCAGCCTTCTTTGCTGTTGTTGTGAATGTGAACTCTATGCAGAAAAGGTGCGGTGCTAGGACAAAGAAAGCAACGAATAAATTTAATAGAACATAAGAAGTAGTCCTTCTGTTGATACCGGAAAGTATAAAATATTGAAACAGCATATCGATAAGCCAGAACCGAAAGAGAATGAAAGAAAAAGGAGAAAAGAGAGGGAAAAAAAATAAAGAAAAGAATAAAGAAACAGAAAACAAAAGAGAAAAAACAAAAAGGAGGAAAAAAAAAACAGTTTCCCGTCTAAAAGTATAAATATGCTGGAACTTCGTGGTTTCAGTATAAAAATTCAAATTGAGATTTTCATCTTTATTGCCGCTGCTGTCGGCCGAACCGCCACCGTTTCATCGTATCAGTTAACCTTATACTTATTATTATTATTATATTATATATATATATATATATATANTATATATATATATATATATATAATATTTTTATTACTTTTTATGAGGAAAAATAAGCTAAAATCCTGGTGAAAACGCGCCTTATAGTTTGTATTCAGAGGCGCAAGCATGTTGAGGTGTATAGGCAGCTCGACGCTGTGATGCACGCACTGAAATTTTCGTCTTTTTCTCTTCTTTTTTTTTGCATTTTGGAGGGATATTAAGCGCATGTGAATAGAAAAATGAAATATTAATAAAAAGTCAAACGAATCCAATTAAAATGAATTTCTCTGGTTTCCCTTCTGTGTATTTTTCAGCAGCCGGTGGCTCTGCAACTCCACGATCGGTGCGCAGCTCGAAGTTGTTTTCGGAGTACCAAGTCGACGAAAACGAGAAATTAAATTCACTTTTTTCATTGATTTCACATTCCACTGCACCTTTTGAGGAAATTCATGTTGACGGCGACAAAAAAACCCTGAAATCCCTCATTTCACGTCTACAACCGCCGGGCTTTCTGCTCAGCATCCAACCGTCGGTGGTTGCTATTGCCTTTATGAACGGATCCGTTCTTTTTCTTCTGAGAAAAAACTGCAAAACTATCAAAGAAGTCCTCCAATGGGTCTTCTCCTCGTCCACAATTCCTCTCTACGCCGGGGGTAAGATCGCTTCCCTTCTTTTTTTTTGAGCCCATCAAGACTCTTTTTTCTGTTTATTTATTTATTTATTTATTTATAGGATGTTCGGCAATAAATATATATGAAACTCTCTTATCCTGCGACCTAGCAACGCTTGAAACCCTCGCAGCAACCCCCTTACACTGCATCTCCCCTCTATCGATCTGCATAGGAAAGTCAGGGGCCTCCTCCAGCAGCAGTTGGCTGCCTTCGCCGCCGTCTTTCACGGAGAGTGCCGGTGAGCCTCTGAGGGTTTCAGCTATATTCTAGTTTGTTTGGAATGGCAAAATCTTTATATTAATTCAATTTCATCTTATTTTGCTGCTGGCGCTGCTGCTGCTGCTGCTGCTGCTGCTGCTATTCTGTGCGTACAGAGGACGTGTACCTGACGCTGAAGAAAGCTGAAAAGGGGATCAACGAGTGGAAAGCAGCGCTTGTGGAGGCCTCAGGTGTTCGTGTGCTTTTGCTTTTAATTTCTTTTATATTTCAGGTGTATATACACCTCGTTTCTGCTTTTTTCAGTCCCCTCTGTTCAATAAAGCCCTTTATTTTCAAGTCCTAGATATTCAGCTTTCTCTGGCTG